TCCACTCGGTTTCTGAAAGAGCAAACTTCTTGTAATTCAGAGCCTTGCAGTACTCATCACATGCCGGTTGTAATCGTAGAAGCCTTCGAAACATGTGATACGACGAGTTCCATCGTGTTGCAACATCAGCAATCAGTTTAGTTGCAGTTTCACGTGATTTTGGTCAAGGTGGCTGGAAATTGACCTCAGTGCTTGGATATTGTTACATGTAGTCGACATCTTCTTGTGCAAGAAGCTCTTTGTCAGTAGGTTGGGCATTTTGATTAGAAGGATAATTGCTATCAGATGTGGAAACATTATTGTTGGCGGCAGAAGGATCGTTATTTACTCCATCTTCTGCGCTGTGGTGTTTGACAAGAGCCCGTGTCATCTTCACGATATTGGCAAAGTTCTGTGCGCGTTGAGGGCTAGACCGGGTAGACGTTACAAGACCGTGACAACGATTATAGATTGTTTTGAGGTTGACTTGAGTGCAATCGGGTGGGTCAACAAGGTTGGAGACGTCCATTGCGTTCAATGAGATTTCCTGTTCATCAAAATCAACCACTTCGCCAAAAACCTTTAGACCTTCCTTGGCTGCCAGGTTGATGACGTGTGCTACACAACCGTGGACCTGAGTAGTATGGTCAAATTCGATGTCTTCTGACATCCCAATAATTTGACCAATTGCAGTGTTTGTACTTAAGTTATTGGCGTTCATTGCGTATAATTTCTTCTCGAGATTAAATTTCTTCAGGTATTCAATGATAATGTTGGCAAAGTTCTTGGCATCGTGAGCACCTAGATGATAAAGCATCAGTCCAATTCAATTCATTCCAGTCAATAGAGAGCTCCTCACCTTGTATTTCCGCAATCCCTAGTGTGAGATCCATGAGTTTCCAATCTTTGGTGACAAAGTGTGCGGTGAGTGACATATAGGGAACATTGTTAGGAGAAGTCCATGCATCCTGAGTAATTGCAATTCCGCCGCAAGCCTCGAAGTCAATCTTCTTGATGTATTCCTCAAAAAAATAGTAAATCTTGCGGGTGTGGTGAGCAAGTGCATGGTGTCTTAAAAGCATCCCTTCGGTATGAGGATTGCAGAGCTTTAAGAGATCTCGAAAGGATGCTTGGTCGACCATAGCAAATGGAAGGTCACAATCGGCAATGAAGTATGTCACCGCAGTCATGAGGCTGGTAGAGTTGAGGGAAATCTGTGTAAGAATAGATATTAGCACAAGCTATCTATGTGGTGCAAGTATAATAAGACCTCACCATGTGATCCGTTCTGACCTTCTTGAAAAGTGCAGCGATGTTTGATTGGTTGGGTAGATTGGGATCACACACACCATTCTGAGTTTGGAGGTGACTTGACATTGATTTTGTACTTCCCTTCTTATCAAGGGCAAATTACTGGCCACATTCTTTTCTGTCCTTCTTCACAAAACCACACTTGTTCATTTTGTATGTCTCAGACTTGCCAGATTTGTCAATCTGAGTAAAGTATAACCATACATGGCTTCTTTTCTTTGACGTATCTTTTGAGTTCAATTCATCCACTTGAGGAGCTAGATCGGGCTGAGAGTTTGATTCTGCTTGAGACATGATGATATCAAGTTCAGTACACGATAATTGAGCGGGGATTTGCGGCTTTTATGTTGCATTGGTGTTGATATTTGTATCTGATAGATCGTTCACGGTTCAATGAAGTTTTTTTTTGATATTTGAATTTTGATATTTAAATTTTTTTTCCAATTTTTTTTTCTGGGCAGAGCACCGGATATCCGCCGGACAACCGCGTCGGAGGTCGGCGTATGGCAATTTTGAAAAAAGCCAATTGGAAAATCTCCGATTGGGTCGGAGAATCTTTCCTATCCGGCGGTTTGGGTCTTGGGAAAGCCAGAATCCACCGGATAGGGGCCGGGGCTCATCTTGACACCAATATACCTATATTTTTAAGTTTTTCATATGTTTTTCTTTATTTTCTTTTTGTGGTTCATTTCTTGATTATTTATGTTGGTCTTAATAAGTTGTTTGAGATATGATGACCTAATCATGACATATTGCGCAATACATAAGCCTTGAAGGCCTTCTATTGATCAGATTCCTCCAATTTCAAGTTTTCTTTTCTGCTGAACTTTGCTAGTAACTTTGGTAAACTGCTATAACTAATTTTTTTCATTGATACCATAGATTGATCACCACACCGTTTAGAGCACCTTGATCATCAGCAATTGAGACAAAGTGTGGGCCTCCAAATTTTGGAAGACCCTCATGGAACGTTTGAACAGCGCTTTCACAGGTTGTTGGCCTTTCACCCGCAAGTCGACAGCAGGAGTGAACACACAAACAAGACTGTGGGCCAAGTTCTACGCACATTCACTGCGAAACAACAAATTCAGTGGTTAGAATCCTTACCCGCAGTCAAATTCACCATCAATAGTGTGGTTAATGTTGCAACAGGTATGTCTCCTTTGACCGGCAAGGCTTTTTCCAAGTGCCAAAGGTACCATGGACGGCCCAGCAACTCTTGAGACGTGGTTGCGCCAACAGGAGGGTTCTTGGGCTCAAGTACAAGACAACCTGTGGGCAAGCCAAATTCAGCAAGCACCTTATCACAACAAGTGTCACACAAACGTCACGGTGAAGGCGGATGACTGGGTGTTATTGGACTCTGGTGATTGACAAGGATGCCATACTGGCGGAGTGGACAAGTTGAAGGAGTGGTTTGAGGGACTATACAAGGTTCTCAACACCTTCAATCACAGCCAGAGCGTCTGAGTTGACTGACCTGTTGGAGACAAGATACATAATGTATGAATATATCAAAAGTGAAACTGTTTGTGGAATTGGAGGGCTTGTTGTTGGGGTCTCATGACCAGAAGTAAGCCCTTTTCCTAGTATGCACCACCGCTCCCCGCTCCACTGTTTCAAAAACATTACCTTGGCCACACTGTGAGCATTGACTGGACACTTTGCCTTACCTCAGCAGTTTCTCAAACAGCAACAGACAGCAACGTTTCATCTGAAGAATTTTATTTACTCAATCATCAAACATCCTTTTTTTAGTTCCTTTTCTCTCTTTTTTTATTTTATCTTTCTTTTTGTCAAGATTTTTTTTACTTTCTGGTTCTTTTTTGTCTTTTTGGTTCAGTTTCAATTATAACCAATGATTCATTTTTTTTTCTTTTTGACTTATATATAACTTCAATCATCATTATTATCATTTTTCTTATTATTCACTTTTTGATCTAGGTTATCTCCTCCATACTCAAGTTCTTTTCATAGGGGGAGAATGTAATGATGCATGTATTTTTACAAGCATAACAATAACACTTGCAAACATACACTACAAATTATACCTAGAGACGTAAACTTAAGACTTCACCATTGTCCTATTACTTTCACTCTAAATTCTACATTGCACTGGCCCCTTAGAAACTGAGACTGATCTCATTTCATATCCTTTGGAGTCAGGTTAGTTCATCTTACATTATTCTCTTTCATATATTTTTATTTCATTATCATTCATGTATAGTCCTTAAGGAAACTGCGACTGATCTCAGTTCATGTCCTTTGGAGTCAGGCAATTTAAATACTCAGTAACTTGGGTTCTAGAAAATCAAGTCCACTTTGTGGTAACAAGAGCCTGTTTCCCTGGTTGAGAACTTTCCTTTAAGTGAGGACCATGTGTCCTTTACATGAGTACCATAAATCTTGTTTTCCCTGCCAGAAAAATTATGTACATAGCAAAAAATATGTACACATACATACTTGCTTTTAGTACTCTAAATCTACTGCAGCTCCCCAGCAAAATCATCTCCAAGTCTCTTAGATATCACCCTTTACTACACACATATTCAGCACCAACATCACCAACATCATCAACATAAAGCTCAAACTCACCAACCTTCTATTGCTATCTCTGACCTTAGTGGCATTGCCTCTCCTCAACAATTGCCTGCTTTATCAAAGCAGTCTACTTGTTCATCTCCTCAGTTTGATTGTCCACAAAGAAGTTCTTCTTGGTCTACTGGTTGACAATCTGGTTCTTCAACTACTCAAAGGAAATCTTCCTTTCTTAACTCCAATTTCATCAGGACATCCAAACTTCAATATTCTTTTGTTTTTTTGTTCCTTAAACACAAGTCATCATGTTTGAGCCGACGATTTTTTTACAAGCATGTACCGTACAACTACAGCCTACAGAAATTGTACTGTAACCCTAGTAGTGGATGCTCTCTTCAAAACGTCGGAATCTACATTTACATACCTTTTTACATATAAGTTTACCTGTATACGTACGTTGCTGTTCTGCTCTTTATTGGCATGTGATATTAGGCTTTTAGGGGTCCTCTTCTGTCTTTCTCCGATTCTACTTATCTTTGACATTTCCAAGCATTTCCAATATATGTGACGTGATGAATAGGTATTTTCCAAAATGTGCGATAGTTATGATATGACCGGGTTATCATTGACAACAACCTGGGCTTTTGTGAGACTTTACCTAATGACTCTGAGTTTTCATATCGCTTGACACCTTCCGGCGCCGACTCATGCCAGCGACTCGGTTAATTATCCTCCATAAGTAAGAAATCGAGGGAGATACTTAAGTTTGTTATTGATAGTGTCCTGTCTCGTTCAAATCCGTGTGAAAAGAGTCAAAATTAACCAGCTGTCAGAGTTCAAGATGTTCTTTTTGGGGCTTTAGAATTAGATCAAACTGAACAACAGTTCATGATGAAAAATTTTAGGTATGCATCAAGCGTGATGATGAGCTTTGGCGGAAGCAAATCGAGTATAAAATGACCAGCAGAAGGCAACCTTCAATGTCCCTCATCGCACTTCATCACTGGCCTTTTGCCTATTCTTTTGGTTTCCAATCGTATCTAGTAAATAGTAAATACCTGCCTTCCATTCCTCAGTAATTCCTCACGCTATAGACCTAATATTGTTTCTTTCGATAGTAGTAATTTTTCCGATCGCTTCAACGCACGCTCATTAGTCCTTAACCAACAAAAATGCATCTTTCCTTCGCTTATCTGGGCTTCGTGCTCACTGGTGCGCTCTTCTGTTATCGTCTATACTCTCTTTCGATCCCAACTGATGTCTCATCCTGTTTGATTTGTTCTTAGCCTCCGCTGCTGCCGGTTCGCATCATTTGTAAGCCATGCATTCGGATGCCGCTTTATGATTTGATGCTGACGTTGTCTATCTGCAGGGCGAGAACCGACACGATTGCTCGGTTGAGCGTCCGCAGTGACGAAGAAACCGGCAAAAAGTAAGTTTGTATCTTTCGAGCTCAGTAGAGCGATCTCGCTGACCTGTTTCACTCTTACTTTTGTAGGGCTGATCTCCAAATGAAGTGCATCGGTGGCTGTGGTGGCCTTCCTGCACCTGGCCCCTCTGCATGCTGGAATGCCCCGGTCGTCTGCCCAGCCGGCCAAGGTCTCCCACCAATGAACACGTTCTTTTCACAAGTTCAAAGCTACACTGTGATTACCTCCAACACCGTCGGCATCTGGAACGGTGGCTTGGATCCCCAAACCATCTTACTTCAGTTCCAAGTCATGGTGACCAGTCTTTCAACCCTGTTCTACAGCTTACAAGGTGGATGTTCCTTCCAAGGAAACCCTCAAGTGGTGCGTTTTCCCTCCATTTCGCTATGGGAGTGCAGCTGTTTGCTAACGCATCTTATTTTTAGTTCATCTCCACTTTTGCCCCGATGATCATCCAAATCCAAAGCATGATCACGATCATCAACACTCAATGTGTTGGTATTATCGGCTCCTTCCAATGTCAGTACCCGTTCTCCTTTGTTCCATTTCCATGATCTGCATGAGCTGACGTCGTATCCTGAACTACCATTTTTCTTATACCAGCCTCATTTGCCGTTCTAACTGTTTTGATGCAATCGATCATCGGTGTCGCCATCACCATGCATGTCAACATTCAGCAATTTTTCTCAGCCTGTAACTTCAACCCTCAGCTCTGGTCACCACTTGGCTTCCCGGTCGATAACTGGATGAACGGAATTCCAGGTTCATTCCCTGGAGGTCCAGGTGGATTCGGTCCAGGTGGACTCCCCGGAGGTCCAGGTGGACTTCCTGGAGGCATTCCTAACGGTGTAGGCCCACAAGTCTTCCCAGGAGGCGGCCCTAACGGAGGTGGTGGTGGTGGTGCCTTCGGCTTCTTCCAACCCCTCAGTCACCTCGGTCAATTACTCCAACAACTCCTCATTATTCTCGAACCTATCTTCCAAGGCCTCGAACGCCTCTTAGCAGGTGTTGGTCTCCTCCTCGGCCATCTCGGTGACGCTTTGGGCGGTCTCCTTGGTGGTGCCGGTGGTGCCAGTCCCGTTGGTTTCATTTAGATTTGTTCAGATTGTTGTCCGCTCTCTCCTTTATGCAGACCTTACCTCAGCCCGTTTTCTAGTTTGAATTGTCTTTTGTTATTATCGTCGACTTAACGTTTTAATTCGCCGCACCTTGTTTATTGTGGGTCCTTCTGCAGCCCAGAGGGAACGGCAATTTATAATGCACTGTCCCTTATTTGTTCCTCTTGCTTGGATTGTGATACCTAAAGAATAACAATGAATGAGCCTTTATTCTTCTCCCAATTCTCCTTTTCACCCTCGTTTTGACTGGGCCTTGCTCCGCTTACCTTCCTCCGAGTCCGAGTATTGGAATTTCCCCGTCCCATAGGAGGGATTCAGTGAAGTCCGCGTGTCTGTTCCATTTGCTGCCTAATTTCTTGGAATGCTAGATGAGACATTGCGTCCTTGACCACGAGATTCCTTGCGTCTGTTCTCACAATCGCCCTTCGTAGCTTCAGTTTCTGTCAACAGTGATGGTCAAACGGAGTTCTTCAGCGACACATTTCGAAACTCAGTAGGTAATCCTTGATATTTCTCTTATTTTTGTATTTGTTTTTTATTAGAAAAATAAAATTCGTATTGATTCTGTTCTTTTTCATTCAAGTTTTTTTTTCTGTGAGTACATATTCTGTTTCTTTTTCCTGCTTGATCTGCTTTCTCTTTTCATTTTTTTTGTCGAATAGATTTATTTGTATACATATAGCTTGAGGGATAACTTGATACATAATCATTTGTATAAAGTATCCTTTAAATATGAATCTATTTAAGCTCTTTATGAGAAGAAATAGAAAACAACGTCATTTGATGAACTTGAATATAAATCCGTCAATGTTACCAATGATCAGTTTAAAGAAATTCCATTGCAGGATGATCGATAATCAAACTTGATAATTTTCTTCAAAGAAAGATGAAACAAGGTGAGATGAGATTGAATCAAAAAGCTTGAAACGCTCAAGCCATTCGAATCACAAGTGACTTCTTGGTCAAAATCTAATAATCATACTTCTCAAACTCAAGTTCGTATGAATTTAGGATCTAAACCTACTACTTGGTTTTTTCTTTTTCATTGAGTTTGGATTGGGTTTTTGATTTTCCTTTTTTTTGGTTGGTTTGGTCTAATTTATTCTTTTGGATTTCTGAAAATCGTTGTTTTGTTCTTTTCATTATTCTTTCTGCATCATGATTCATTTTTTTATTTAATTTTGTAGCTCTGGTGTTTCAAACCTTGAAGAATTTATCCAACTCTTGTGTGTGTGTCTTTTTTTTGGTATCTGTTTTCGATTTCAATCAAAAACAGAAGACATTTAAGATTTCCAAAACCAAACCAAGATCTAATTCTCAATTCAAGAGTAAGATCTCAACCCTCCAAAAAAAACAAGAAAACACAATCAAATTCTACAAAACCTATTTTACATTCCTAAAAAAACGTATGCCCAAGAAACACCCAAAGATGATCATAAAGCGAAAGACGAAATCATAACCAAATCGAATCTTCATGATCCATCCCACAAATCCCAACCCTTCCAGACCCCAACCCAACCCCAGCTCTTTTAACACAAACTTTCCTACCATTCGCACTACCAGGAGTAATCCAACTTCTATCAATCCCTTTAATTTCTCCTTTCCCTTTCTTTTCCTTTCCTGTTAGCTTTCCTTTTACTTTTACTTGACTCTTTTGATAATCATCAGGAACAGTAATCAAAGGAACTAAATTCAAAACACTTTGGTACCTTCTTCTAATAAATCTATGGGTTAATCTTCTGGGTCCGTTCTTTAAATTTATGGTGTCTTCTTTCGGTTGAAGTCTTGATCTTTTGGGTAATAATGATTCGATCGGATCGTGGGAATGGTTCAGTGGTGTGGGTGAAAAAGGATGTGAGCTTGGTAATTTGTTTGGAATTCGATTTTCATTTGGGATGAGTCGGATTGGATTCAATTTGTTTGGATTTGAAGATAAAGATAAGTTTGATGAAAAAGCGTATCGAGGTGTACCGGAGTTTCCTTTGATGGACGATTGTGCAATCAACTCTTGTAACATCTTGGACGATTCTTGTAAGATCTCAACCGATAAGTCAGTTCCAAACTCATCCAGAATCCTTTTAGAAACTTCTTCAAACGTTTCAACCTTTCGAATCTTCTCATCTTCAATAACTCCTAAAGGAGCCCCAATCAATCCATCAATCCATTTCTTTTTCAATTTGTTTCGATGATTAATTTGTCTTGAAGAACACATGATACCCATCCCATTAGATTTGCCTAGATGAGTTAAATCAGGTTGGAATTCGGTTGGTAGATCTGACCATACAGTCGTGATGATCGAAGTAGGTGAAATGGATTGTAAATCAACTTGACTTGGAACTGTTCTTAATTGATTAGATTGTGAACTTGTAATCAATTTCATTACGATAGGTGGATAAATCGGAAATCGGGTTTCTGAATAACTTAGACCTTTGGGGATTTGTTGAACGGATGGTATTACATATGGCTGTTAAAACATTCATTCATTTAGTTTCACTTTTGTTGGTTTGGGTGGGGTTTGAGTTGGGAATCTTATCTTACATTTATAAACTTTTCTCTTCTTTCTCCTTTTCTTGCAAAGGATTCTTTAAGTAAATCTTCAAACATTAATAAATGTCCAGAATTAGCTGCTGCTACTTTCAATCTAATCTTCATCCAAAATCAAAAACCAAAACAAGTTCATCAGGTTTACTTTTCTTTTGGATTCAGAAACTCGATCAAATCACTTACTTACAGTTTCTAAAAAATGAATCGATTTGAGTATCCTACTTTGAACTCTTTTGGGATCATTCCCATATGGTCTTTTACATCTTTTATGCAATAAGTTCAAAAGATAAGATCTACAATATTTTTTTATTGAAATTGATTAGTTTTTTTTGGTTTGATGTTTGATAAATTCAGATGTACCTTGTGATTTTGTCTGGGAACTTTCTGATTTGTCGTAAGTAAGATCTAATGAATGGGAAATGAACCGGATTTAAATTAGTGGTCATCTTGATGGTTCATGAAATGCATTCCAATAGGATAGAAATGGATTGGCTTTTGGTTTGAGTGAGACGAATGCCTTTTGTATTCCCATACATACTATCATGTTGATTTCATAACCCATGATATCCGTACATTCATCCATCATTTGATCTTATTTTGTCGCATATGATAACTGATGTATATCTCTGATGAACCGATATCAAAAACTTTCTAGATCCTCATTTATGAAATTGTATGCAAAGAGTGAGCTAAACCAAGATGGTGTTGGAATTGAATTGGAAAGTATGTCTTCAATTTTCAAGAAGGCCCTACCAGACCGAGCCCTTCATGAGATCACACCTGATCACACACACAACACAAATTAGATCAATTCTAAATCTCCTAAAACTGCAAGTTGTGAAAACATTGTGAATCGTACTTCAAGCTCTGCTCAATCTAAAACCGTTAGTTTCTCTTACATTCTATCATTCACTCTTTCAAATTTTATTTGGAATAATTCCTTGAGATATAATTGTTTTCAATAAAGATCAAAAAAGACACAATCGGGTATAGGATAGATAGCTAATTTAAGATTTTCTCAAGGTGTGGAAAATTCCAATGAAATTCATCCGAATTATAATACGAATAAGAAGAAAATCCTTCTTGAAAGATATATACATACTCAGGAAGAATTATCGAAAGATTGAGACTGTGAGACGAGAAGATCTTTTTTGTTTTTTGGTTACGAGAATTACCTTATGATAATTTATTCTAAAATTTCAAAAAAAAAATTAAAGAGAGTTGTATCAAATCGATTGAGTAACAAATATATATATCATAATTCAAAGCTGGTTAAATCGTTTGATTTCTTTATTACATAGTATTGGATAAGTTTTATAATAGTTTGTCTATGAATTTCAAAGCTTAGAAATCAAGTTCAAAAAAATATTAACAAGAAGAGATGTGTGAAAGCATAGAACCAGAGGTTATGTAAATAAATGTTTATAGCCGGTGAGCCAGTTTATATATACGGATGATATGATTTTTATTTGAGAGGTATCAAATCTAGGGTAGATTGAATATGACTCTCTCTTTGGAAGGGAATCTCGACCAAGTCCAGAAGTCTTGAAATGTACATATTGAAAGGGCAAGGGTTACAAGAAGGTCAGATTCGAAGGAACAGACTCGATAGGTGCGATGCCTATTTAGTGATTAGCATCTCATTTCAAGGGGGGTGGTCCTACTTCAAAAAGACTAAAGTGACGTTTTCCCAAGTTTGGGTCAAAAGGCGCGATAGGCTCATTTATTTCTCAAGCAAACGATAGATCAAGGTCCATTTATTCTTTGACATCTCATCTCAATAGTCACATCAAAAGAAACGAACAGGTAAAGCAAACCAACTCCGTTTGAAAGATGATTTTTTTCTTGTTTAAATAAAAGAATCAAAAATATTTATTCGCAAATACCAAAGAGTTATGAGTTCAAAAAAATGAAAAATGAATCACAGAAGGAACGTATTAAAAGTGTACCTCTGAAATATCTAGATCTTTTTTTATACTTTTTGAATGTCCTTCTACAAACAGATTTGATATTCGTCAGTCTCCTTTGATAGGGGTAACAATTGAGGCTTTAAGCACTGTTTGAATGGAAGAAGGGTCAGTAAGAAGTAATGTTCAGATGATCAATGATTGATTGACTTACTTTTTTATCAAGTCCGATATCCAGTTATACCTCCAAGGAAACCAAAAAAAAAACAAAGAAACGCGCCAAAAATAAAGTCTTATTTGAACTTTTTCTTAAATAAGATCAACATCTTCATCAGAATGAAAAGCACTCAAGTCCCATTCGGAACTTTCATCAGCAAGCGCCAGCTCTTGATCTCTAAAGTTCAGTAAAGCTTGAGCGATTTGAGAAGCAGAGAAATCAGAGTCTTTGGGTTGAGAAGTTTGAGTGGGTTGAATGAAATGTTGATGATGAGTAGGAATGTAACCGTTTTCAAAGATCACTGCATTACGTCTTCGTCGAGTGGGAGATGTACCACGAACAACTGAAGGAAGTCCGTCTTCCACAAAGATGGCGTTGCGATTGCCAGTCAAGACCGCATTACGTCTTCTTTTAGCAGGAGATGAAGCAGAAGGAATGGAAGAAACGGAAGGAGAGGAAGAAACGGAAGGAGCAGAAGGAAGAGAAGGAGCAGAAGGAGCAGAAGGAGTAGGAGTAAGAGAAGGAATAGCAGGAGCAGAAGCCAGACCATGTCCTAATAAAATGGCATTGCGTTTTCGAGAACGTTGAATGAACGTTTGATCGAATTCTAGAGGAGGATGTTCAGGAGAGATAGGAGTGCTCTGGAGAACATCGTTATAGTTGAGGTCTCCAGGAGCAGAAGCGGAAGGAATTTGAACGTAATCGATGTAGAGAGAATTGGAGGATAACTCTGAAATCGGAGAGAGAGGTATTTGAGACGAAGGATCAACGCGACCAGAGCTATTAGGGAGATTAGGATGAGTCATACTGAGAGAGATAGAAAAGTGGAATGGAAAAGGATTTGAAGGTGGATTGGAGAAGGATGGAAATGGGTTGTTGTCTGTTGTTGTCGAGTGTGATGAAGGATATGGTTTGAGTTGAAAACGACGATCACTTTCGGGGTCAAGAGTGAACCAACCTCATTTCTTTGTACAGTCATATGATCAGCATCTTAGAAAAAATATGCTAATGGAGAGTAGGATACATTTTGATCACATTTTTAAAAATGCGCGACCAAATACAATACACAAGAAGAAAAGTTTAAATTTCTTCTGTTGCGTATTTTCTTAAAGATGCCGCGGGCAGTTTGTATTTTTCTCTCCGTACTGGTTTTTTTTATTCTGCTTTAATACATTCGCGATGAAACGTAACCACTTCAAATCTTTCCGAAGTTATCTCTCTACTGATCGCCGATACGCGCCAAGTCAACATATCTGGAATAATAGATTAATGTTCAGGAGCCTGGTGAGCTCCTTGATACAATACACAAGAAGAAAAGTGTGGTTTTTTTCTGTTGAGCATTTTCTGAGTAAGATGCCGCGGGCAGTTTGTACTTTGCTTCAATTCATTCGCGATGAAAAATCAAACAAATACTTTAAATCTTTCCACAGTTATTTCCCTACTGATTGTCGAGAGGCGCCAAATCAACCTATCTGGAACAGATTAATGTTCAGCAGACTCGTGAGCTTCTTAATACAATAGAAAAGTTCAAATTTCTTGTGTTGAGTATTTTTTGAGTAAGATGCCGCGGGTAGTTTGTATTTTGCTCTCCGTACTGGGTTTTTTCATTTTGCTTCAATTCATTCGCGATATCAAACAAATACCTTAAGTCTATCAAAAGTGATCTCTCTACTGATTGCCGAGACACGCCAAGTCAACATATCTGGACTACATTGATTTTCAGCGGCCTCATGAGCTCCTTTAGATTTTTCAAGCAAACTGCTTTGCTATGCGACACCGCGAATTGGTAAGCTCCTTCCATTAATTCAAACAAGATCTTAATGTCATACCATTCTCCGGAAGACGTATCACTGTATGACGCGTGTTGGCGTCTGAACATTTTTGTGATTCATTTTGTCTTTCGAATAATCACGATAAACGTTTTATCCCAATCGCAACTTTGTGTTGACGACTTGGTCTGGCATCGGTCCCTGTGATTGTCATGTTCTCTACGGTTTTTTGTTGGGACCTAGAACACATTGGGTCTATCCAGTTTTCAATTTACTTAACAGTGGTCTACTGAGGGAAACATTCTCTGCATAGCACTGTGTAATTACAAAGTCTCTGGTCGATGCAAAGTAAATGTATATTGTACAATTTTCTGATTGACGTACGGGCTCTATCTGAACTCCTTTTAACAAAAATAGCTCTACTTCAAGCTATCCAAATGATGGTTTTTTTTCTAGTCAATCTGTGCAAAGGTTTAGTAGCTTGATACTTCCCCTCTCCCTCACCTTCAATGTATCTGGAGGATACCAATCTTTGGTTCCTTTTGGGTGTTTCTGATAAATCACACCGAGCTGCTGGAACATAGTGAAGGTCGTGCCTTCAAGTTCCACGACTAAGTACTGATGACAATATTTTTGTTATCCCAGATAGACGTGCTCATGATTCGTGAGATCCGAATTCCTTATGAGGGCCATATTACCTTTTGAAGATCTCTCAATAACCTTGGAATTTTTCAGCATCTTAACAAGTTAGAAGATAAAAGCAAACATTTGTACCTTTTATTTCCTGGTATAATGTTACATATCTCTCATGAAATTGTACATTTCAATGTGTAGTGTATAACCTCTCCGGATACTGTTCTTGATCATCCATTGATTTCAGTGCGGTAGTTGAAGCGCTCCATCGAGCAGTTGTTGATACAATACTTGCACCTTGAACAAGTACTCGACACTTAGTGGTCGTCAGTACTCAGTCCTAACACGCTCAAGATCCATTTCAGGACTTTTATGCTGAGCTCACTTTCTGTTCTCATGTTTGCAATCTGTTTACTTCACTCATCCAATGTTCAGCTAGAAACCTTTGTATATAAATCAAACAGTTGTTGATTGCATTTGATGTTTTTCCTTCTTCTCATGTTCGCATCTGATAATCATTACAAGTTTTGTCTCTTTTGCTTTCCTCGAAAGAAGCCAATCAGTCTTCTTGTACACTTCACTGCTCGATATCGAGTATAACCCTCGACACTAGCATTTCACCGCACCAGTGCACGTAGCTTGTTTCATCAGCAGTGCGAAGTGACAGTTGTCATGTTGGTTGAAGAAAATTTTCATCCAGTGCTCTGGGAATTCCAGTGTAAGCCTCTTCGTTCAAGTGGACAAGATTTGGATCTCCAATCCCCTCGTTCGACGACCAGCGAGGAGAGAGGGACTTTGTTGAGTTGACCGGCGTCCCGATCGATCCAGGCTAACGCGGAAACGATGCGTATCAGCAGATGGCCGCGGATCATGTCTTCATCCCAAGCTCAACGATCCGATAAGCAACGCTTGACATTGACTCATTTGTGGATGATGGACCGGTGAACTCCTCAATCCTGGAGTAGTCAATCAGGACTCGAACGCGCGTCGGGCTTTGCCAAAAACGGCTGGGGAGGGCATTCGGTCCTGACAGCTGAAGGTTCAAGATCCAAGAGCGTTTCGCAGGCCCGATGATAGCGATATAAAGGAGATTCTCGTTTTCGTCATGTCTTATCGATCGCGTTGTACCATGAGGTCATTTTCGCGGTTTCTTTGATCGATTAGTTTCCTTATGCTCAGGTTCGAGGTGGTTTTAAAAAGTTGGAGGAAACCGAGGCAAACGTAATTGACCGTGGTCGGAAATCAAGAACTCAGCCGGGTCATTCTAGATCATCACTTCGGTCAACAGGGTGACTTAATTTTTGACGCAAATATCAATCAACTCAATTCAAATCAAAACTGCTCAATAGTTGATACAAGACTACCATTGGCAATTCTACCTATTTTATCATTGATATCCTTCAGGATCCTTTAGTTGAAAAATGAAAAGTTTGAATGGGTGGTGGTAGCCTTCATGGGTGGTGTAACAAGGCTAGAATAGATTATCGATCACGTTGGCTCCCAGTTTCCCGAGTTACTTAGCTATTGTAGCAGTCAAAATCAAAAGATGGTTGTCAAGAAATAGATGACAGGAATGGATATAGATATAGATTAGTCAAGTACAACATAGGGAAGATTCATCAGAAGAGTTCCTTGTCAGTTTATTGGAAATATCAGAGGGAGCATCCATCAAACTTAAAGACAATCAGGTAGCAATCCAGAAAACCCAACCAAGGTATCTTTACTCTTTAACATTTCATTCCACCAAGCCATTCAGCTTATCAAACATGATATCAAAGCAAGCCAATCATATCATGAATTCCAAGAATTCACATTCAAAAAATGATTTCAACTCAACCCTGTTTCAACCAAATTATCCAAAGAAACTCAACAATTTAACTTCAATTCAAACTTCACTCTTACCATTCTTCCAATCAAGAATTAGATTTATAATCTTAGCAATCATCACTACCACACTTTATATAACAAACCAACCTAACATCATCTCAACTAAATTCAAATTAAAAACTAACCATCAAGAAATTACTCCAAAGAAATCACTACCTAAAAAATTAAATCCATCAGATTATTCTGATGAATTACTTTTATCTTTACCAATTTTAATTTCTACTTCAAATCAACCATTTGATCCAATAAATGAACACAAACCATTACCCAATCATCTAACTCCATTCACCACCCAAATCTTAATGAACCATCTCAAAACCCCTCCAAAATCAAATGCACCAAATAAACTCCCATATCCATCCCATCCCTCTGCTGAGCCCCGTCCACAAAAAGTGATAAATACAACCATAAAAGATTTTGACATTGCTAGTAAATATAAATTACCTACATCATCCAATTCCAGAAATTTAAAATCGGTTCAATACTTGGGATTCAAAAAGTCAAAGTTCATTAAGAGTTGGGAAACTCGGGAAGAAGAAAGTATTAGAAATAAACGAAAAGAGTGGGTCAAGAATGCTTTTTTGGTGGTTTGGGAAGTTTATAAAGCTAAGGCTTGGGGTCATGATGAACTTAAACCCATCTCTGGTTCAGTTTAGTGATATTTCATTCATTTGAATGATTTCTTTACACATCACATTGATTTTTTGTGTTGGTTTTATTGTTTGCAGTTTGATGACCCTTTTTCGGGTTGGGGTGCTACTTTGGTAGATTGTCTGTAAGTCTTATCTTCATCTTCTTTATTTCAATCACAGGATACAAAGTAGAAGTCTGGGTACGTGCCTTGGGGTTTCTTCTCAGACATCCAGAATCCCAGCCACAAGTTGGAATGTGGGAAATTCTGGGACAAAAAATCAACATGTAGTTCTCCTCACACTTAGCTTACCCCATGCCCATCAAGCTTGACAAGACACACACCTCAAACCAGGTCACTTGAATGGACCTTTTGGGGTCTTGTTTCCAAATAAATTGAAGCATCAAGACACTGATGGGTTCTGATGAGGTGTGAGGTGTTAAGACGAGATGAGGTCAGGAAATCTGGATGAGTTTCTGGCTGATTGTGCATTCAAAGTTGAGGTATCCCTGGTAAAAATACAGAATTCAAATTACACTACAGCCAAGAAGGATGTGGCCAGGATTCTGGAATTCTGTGAAACAAATCCCTTCTGCTTTGTATCCTGTATTTTTTTATTTTATCAATCTTGCAGATATTGAAAGTCATAAATTATACAAATAATTATTCCAGTAATTTGTAAACATATAAAGACAAGCACAATTCCTTACTAACAGTACAGAAAAATACTCAAACAAATCTGTATAACTAATTACCTTGTTGAGGTTTTGTATTCAGTGATACACTGCTAATCATGGATCTACCCAAGGAATACGAAGTAAGTCCCTCTCAAATCACTCAATTCCTCAAGGCTTCTCAAAAGAATAGATAAAACTAATTAAAAGTGTTTATAGTATGCAAGAGATCATGTAAGGTCAATAGATTGGAGTAAAACTTTAAATATTCAAACAATTAAATCACAGAGATCTCCACCCAGTTCAGACCCAACTATCCCATTGTTTGAAACCGTGATCCGATGTAAATTCTGTTTCCCTTCCATTTTACAGTCAATTGGCTTTCTCTTCTATTGTCTTGGTTTGTTTTTGGGGAGGTCTTGAGACTTAGGAGGATTGATCCCAGCTTATGAATTATCAAATGATAAATTAATGCTAAAAAGAGCAGAAGATTTAGCTGATTGGCTATTACCGGCTTTTGGTACTGATCTTGGATTCCCTATACCTCGTTATAAGATTGGATCGTAAGTTTCTTTCTTGCATTCTACCTTGCTCCTTTTTTATTTAGAAACTGATTTCTTTGGGGGTTTGGGGGTTGGTTTGAATAGGAATCCTGATAGTAAACCTGTTGGTAGAGTTTGTTTAGCTGAAATGGGTTCATTACTTTTAGAATTTACAAGATTATCACAAATCACTCACAAACCTCAATACTTCTTTTATGTGAGCTCTTCTTTCCAATCCTTGCTTCTTTTACTTAGTTAATCAAATGGTGTTTTTTGGTAGGTACAACGGATCACTGATCTTTTGGATTCGGATCGATGGAACTCAGAAGATCGGATTGGTAGTTTATTTCCTACAATAATAAATCCTGATCATCCTACAGATTTATGGGGGTATTATACATTTGGTAAACTGTTTTTTCATTCTATCACTTAAAACCACATCACTAACATGATTTCCTTTTGTTATAAATTTATTAGGTGGCATGGCAGATAGCTACTATGAATATCTCGTACGTTTCTTTCATCCCCCTCAACCCAATTTCCCTTTGAGAACTAAGTTCTTATCAATCTTAACTATTTAGATAAAACAATACCAATTACTAGGTCTCCAATCCCCTCAATACTCAAAAATGTATACATCAATCCTAAAATCAGCCAAAGAAAACTTAAAAAAAACTTTCCAATTAGAACCTACCAACCAAACTCAAACAAGTATAACACCTAAGATCATCACAATTTTAGGTGATAGATCAGGAGGAAAAGATTCAAATTTAGTTAACTCGCTTGATCATTTAACTTGCTTTTCTGGTGCTATGATTGGACTTGGAGCTAGGTTATTGGATAACGTTGAAGATTTAGATTTAGCTGTTTCTGTGTCTCTCTCTTTTCTTTTTCTCTTTTTTCAAGAAATAATAGGCCTTTGGTCGATTGATTATCTGAGGGGGGGTCTGCTGTTTCTTATAGTACACCGATTCTTGTGTTTGGGCTTATGAATCTACTAAAACTGGTTTAGGACCGGAGAGAATGATTGTTTTTGATGATGAAGATGGTGCAGAGTATTGGGAACCAGTCAAACATGAAGGTCAGTGTTATTCCTAAAAAAACAATTTTGTTGTGGAAATTTAATGATTTCCTTGAAACACTGTCCTTTTGCCTTGATTGCATTTTAGGAGAAGTTTATCGTAGATTAATTAAAGAGAATGGACCTCCTGGTTCGATCATTCTTGGTCTAAATATGCTGGTAGACCTGAAACAATTGAGTATGTTTTTTGTTTCAATTTTCTTCCTTTTTTCTTCTTGAATTGGGAATTGTGAATTGATTTTTGGAATTGACATTGGTTAGATCTGTTTTGTATATGTGGAGAATTACTGGGGATAAAGTTTGGCAAGATAGAGGATGGAGAATGTAAGGTTTCAATATCAAAAAAGAGAAAACCACATACAAAAAACTGAAGTTATTTTTTTGCAAAAAATAGGTTCACAAGTTGGGTAGAAGGATGTTTAACTGAGTTTGGATTTGCTGATATAGTTGATGTCAATCACTTACCGTATCAAAGATCAGATAAACAAGAATCATATGTTTTAGCTGAAACGTAAGCAAACCAAACTCCTTTTCCTATCCAGACTTTTTCCATGCGCAATCCCAAAAAAACAGATATTGAGAATGGTCTTTTTTGGTTTCTTTAGATTGAAGTATTATTATTTATTATTTGATGACCCACATTCAATTAGTTTAGATGATTACGTTTTTAATACAGAAGCACATCCCTTTAAATTAGGAAACCGTAAAGCTTTAAGAAATTATAGTTTGAAGGAATATAAAGATGAAGAGATTGGTAAAGGCAGTGTTTTGCAGGTTTGGGCTGGGTTAAATTATGAGGATTTGGATGAACGGGAAAAAGCAATTTATACGGAAGTTTTTGGGATTTGATTATTTTTCTTTGAGGAAGAGAGAGTCAGCCTTCTTTCTTGGTATATTAACAATGTCTATAATTTCTTTTTTATAATTTTTCTTTCTCTGATTTAGACAAAGTGATCAATGCATTTTCTTTTTCAGATAAATATTGTCTTGTCATATAAAACAATTTTGATCCAATTTTACTTTCTACTCTTTTGGAAACATTATAATGAATTAAATCCATAGATATTTTTGTTGGTAAACAAAGAAATAAAGGAAGAAAAAAAGAAGAACAGAAAAGTTTTGAAAACAAAAGGCAGAAAACTCTACAATGGATAAATGCTGTACCAACAAGTGAATCCAATTTGATAAGACAAGGAGTTTACAGTCAAACAGCTAACTTAACTAAGTCCCTCTCGGATGAACGCTTGACTACTCATTTGTCCGAGAGGGACTTAGTTAAGTTAGGTCAAATAGCAAAGACGGTCAAAAATATGTATCATTGGGTACAATCTGGTTGGGGCTTTGAGGTCACAATTGTTGCTGAGAGGTCACAAAAACTACATCTACAAGAGATATATAATTTATCCTTTCTTACTAAACTGTTGACTTGCTAAATCAAATGTCTTGTTTCAGGGAAAAAAAAGTACATCATGGTATCTACCATCTCTCTTATAATTTCTGACATCAAAACCATCCCCAGTCATGGGGCAGGGCTAAATCAAATGTCTTGTTTCAGGGAAAAAAAAGTGAAGTTCAAGAGTGTCAAGATTCCCAAAAATATGATCACGAGGCTTTCCAGACACATATATCATATCAATCTGCATGAAAAGTTGTTGCAAGTAAAGTTATGCTAAGATGAAGAAGATATTTTCTTACTTCATCTCATCTCACTTACTATCCATCAATTTTTATTTCCAGGATATTCATAAGCTGTAAATATGTTTGAATGCAAAGTTTCCTAAACAAACATGTTCATACTAATAATTCAATATAAGTTAGACTTCAGAATAAATTCTTTTTTTACTACCTTCAAGAAGATCAAACTTCAAAGTTTAGCTCTGAAATTTCCAGTAATAAAATCACACCCTGAACATAACAGGTCCTTGATATGTTTATGAAATTGTTGGTTCATTCTAGGAGACCATCTGCCTACTTGGGATTTCAACAATTTCCTTTATCAATAATGTTACCTCACTTTTTTCATTTTATAACCTTTACTTCTTTTGTGACAACCTTTGCATATGAAGTGTTAGGAAGCTGATAGACACACTAATTGCTATACAAATGATATCTACTGGCTGTTTGCCCAGAAGCACAACATCATTCCCCTTTGCAAGGCAATACATTGTTAGATCAAAAGAAAGGTTCTCTTGTTTGTGCCAAAGATGGCTCTTCAACTCTACTAGGTGCATACTTAATCACAAACCTCCAACTCTGTAAAACTGCTCAACCACATTTATTTATATATCAGATACTTTATTTGTGTGTCCAGGTTAAGGTGAAGATGATACCAATTCAAACTATAAAGAATATAAACTACAAGTATATGGATTGTTGAATTGCATTTTGTAAATCACACCATCAAAAACTGTGCTGTGGCCCAAATGATAGCCAGTTACTTGGAAGGTAATTTGATGAATAGACTATTGGAGAGTTGAGAGCTGATTATATGTTCAGTACATTGTAAGCTGAAACATCAACCAAAATTCATGTGTGACTCAATAATTGATCACAATACCAGGCTATGTTATGATCTTAGTATATTTGTTGTTGTGAAGGGGATCCAAGGTTTCAATTTACCAACATTGACAACTCTGAAAGACAATTTTTGAGTGCAAAAATGAACAATCCTTTGCAGTAACATATCAGAGGAAAATAGTTGTGCATTTATTTGATTTCTGTGTTTGAG